CGCGGGGACCGGGTGTATGGCACATCCCCCGTGGGACCGGGATGTATTGCACATCCTCCTGGAGCCCACGGGGACGGGATGTATGGCACATCCCTCCATAGGACCGGGATGTATGGCACATCCCGTCCAAGATCCCTCGGGACCGGGATATATTGCACATCCCCCCGGGAACTCTCGGGACCGGGATATATGGTACATCCCCCCGTGAACCCTCGGGACCGGGATATATGGCACATCCCCCCGGGAGCCCTCGGGACCGGGCTGTGTCCCACGCCGCATCCTGCGCCCCTTTCCTTGGGGCTCGATGGGCTACTGACTGTGCCGCTTAAGGAGGAAAAAACCCCTCCCGTGTTCTTAACGCGTCTGTAGTAAGTAATGCCGGCGGTGAGCGAGCGGGGCTGTGATGCTGTGTTTGGGTGCAGAGGATCTCGCCGGAGATGGCCGCGTTCCTGCAGCGGCTGCGGCAGAAGGTGAAGGTGGGAGTTGTGGGCGGCTCGGACTTCGCCAAGATCCGCGAGCAGCTCGGCGAGGACGGTAAGGAGCGAGGCTGACGCAATGTTCTGCCCTCGAGTGCTCGCGAGGAGCTCGGGAAGGTTAAATGTAGGTTAAACGCTGCTCACTCTGCTCCTCCCTTGCGTGGCACTGTTTCCTGGGTGGTGGTTTGGTGTGTTGTGCTCAGTGTGTTCGCACTGGCACTTGAGTTTTACAGGTGTTTTGGTATCATTTAAAGGGTTATAACTAATGGGGAAATGCTGCATCGTGGCAGAGCCTTGGGAGGGCTGTGCCACCCTGCTGGGGCACAGTGGAATTGAGGATGTGACATACACACGTGGGAGCTGCTCGGCTGTTGTGCCTCCCTGATCTGAATTCTCTGGTCCTTTGTGAGACATTGCCTGTGTAAAAGATTGTCTTGAATGGGCTTTACTTAATTGACGGATCAGTATTTACCAATTTAAAGGTTAATTGATCAATCTTTGCCAATTAAAGATTAATTGACAGCCTGCTGTAATGCCCAAATAACTCAGAATTTAGTTAACTTCCCAGTGGTGTCCAGTAGCCATTGTAGAGTCTTACAGCTCCCAGACATCTGCTGAAGATTAGTAGCACTGAGGAAATAAACACAGTATTTGACTTGCTTTCTAGCCAGGCTGTGTGCCAGGTGTTTGCAGTATTTGAGCTGTTTGGTCACTTCCTTACATTTAATGCAAAGGGATAAACTTGCAGGTGAGGAACAGGCTCCAAGCAAAACCACAGGTAACTTAATGACTTTGTGGGATTTGAAGTATTAATCTTACTGAGAAATGGGAGTGGTCTTGATCTTGTGCTTGATGTGATGCTGCTCAGTCTTTCATGCTTTAGGATCTAATGTTTGCTGTATTTTAACCAGTTTATGTTATGTGTAAGACAATTCTGCATTAACCACACAGGGGTAATAAGTTGCTCTCTTTTGTTTGCTTGCAGTGGTTGAAAAATTTGACTATGTGTTTCCAGAAAATGGTCTTGTAGCATACAAAGATGGGAAGTTCTTGAGCAAGCAGGTGAGTGTGAAATTGCCAGGAGTGGGAAAGAAAACTTTTCTGACCAAGATTTTGCTTTGTAGTCACAGTGCAGATCACAAATCCTCTGTGATCACCGTTCCAGCTAAGGCCTAAATTGCTGCTGTTTTCATGTGTTACTCCTGTACCAAATCATTCCTTTGGTGCTCTGATATATGTAATTACAACCTGCACCTTAAGCTTTATTCTTTGGGTTATTTTCCAAACCAAAAGCTGTTGGGAGTCAGGAGTGTGTGATCAAATAAGAGCAGTGAAAATCCTGGAACAGCTTTTCCTTCAGTTTGTCTATTAGCAATGTGGCCAAGCCCTTGGAATGTGGCATTTCACAGCTGATGCCTGTTGGGCCTTAGGGTTCAGAAACTTTCTCATAGATCTCTCGTAGCATCTTTTAAACATTAACTGTCTGATATGTTGTATAAGCTAGAGGGTAAATAAATTAAGTGTCCATCCAGTTTTAGATGCCCTAATCACCTTCATTGGTTCAATGTAGGTAATGGGGATTAAACATTTCAAAGAGATCCTGGCTGAAATTGGTGCCTTGAGGAGTGGTTTGAGTTTACTGCAGGAACAAGCTCTGTTTCTTCATGCTTGGCTACAGCAGACATGAACTGCAGCTTTTTGTTTAGGGCTGCAGCCTTTGGCCCCCAATTTGCTGCTAGAGCAGGTACTAGTAGGGAGTGTGTTAAAGGACAATTTGGTGTTACGGTTAAAAAATAACAGAGTAAATAAAAAGAAAACTGAGGGCCTTTAGTTAGTACCATGTGTGCATCAACTGAGAGTTACTGATTGAACTCCTGTTTGTTCCTCTGTGGTATTAACCATGCCTGATGATCCAATGTCTGTGTTTTCCATGTGACTTGCTTTTAGAATCTCAAATTCTGGACCCTTGGTTGAATGGTGTTTATTTTGTTAGAGCATTCAGGGTCACCTGGGTGAGGACATACTTCAAGATGTAATCAACTACTGCCTGAGCTACATTGCAAAGATTAAACTGCCAAAGAAGAGGTATGTGCACACACACATTTGGGTGTCACCCCATTCTCCGTGTTACATGTTGAGCATCAGGGTGTAGAGCAGGATGCTCAGCAAGAAATGAGTAGTTTCTGGTTTGGGAGCACTGTGTGTGTGAAACAGAGCTCAATCCATGCACACAAAGACAAGCTCCCAGCTGGGACACAGGATTTAAATACTGATTCCAGCACTCTTATTGAAGAGGGAAGGAGATTTGATTTTGAAGCAGGAGTGCTTCCTTGACATGTTTGGAATTCAGCAGCTTAATGTTTTCCAGAGGTGAGGAGCCTGCAGCAAGGGCAGCTCTGTGTGGCATGTGAGCTGCAGCTGCTGGAGACACAAAAGCTGCGTGTGAGACCAGGCAGGACACTGCCCAGATTGCTCTGGATTTTGCAGCTTCACCCTGATGCTGCCAGCCTGGCCTGGCAGGCTCTGAGGATCAGGTTGACAGGACGCTCCAGTCACACTTTTAAAAACAGATCATACTTTTAAAAGTCAGTAAGGATGATGCTGAGGTTGCCAGATTCAAATGGAAGTCCAAAAGACTCAGTGCCAGAGGTGTTGGTTGCTACTTGTTGAGGGGTTTATGCATACAATGAGAGGTTGAAGGAGAAAGCTATTCCCACTGTCTTCAGAATTAGATGGAAGTTGATTTTGAGCAGGTTTTTCATGCATTTTCTGTCTTGTTGATCAATTCTTTCAGAGGCACTTTCATTGAGTTCCGAAATGGGATGTTAAACGTGTCCCCCATAGGAAGAAGCTGCAGCCAGGAGGAACGACTTGAGTTCTATGAATTTGATAAAGTGAGTTACAACTCCTGGAAAATACCCAACTCCCCTGGAGGAGGCAGTTGTGGCAGGTTACGATTTCTAAAAAATTTCTATACTTTGTGCAGTTTTTCTCATGTTAATCCTTTCCATGCGATTTAACTTCTTCCTTCAGCCCTCAGGGGACAGACAGTGTTTTTTGTTGCAATAATTAACAGTGATTACTTGCAGAAGGCATGGGTTTGGCTCATGTTTCTTTTAATCCAATATCCTGAAAACCCCTGTCCTAGATAAAACCATCCTTCCTTGGTGTGCTCTTCGCTGTGCCAGCCTGTGTCTGTTCAGGTCAATAAAACTACTCCTTTGCTTGTCATCTGCAAAGTCTTTTAAAGCAGAATTTAAAAGCTGAGGTCAAACTCTTTACCATTTATCTACCTTTGAACACAGCTAAATGTGCAAGGCTGAAATGAATGTGAGCCATGAGAGTTCTGTTTCCTCTGCACCACAGCAGCTGTTTCTGACCTGATAAAGCTAAGACCTAATTCCTCAAAAGGAATCTCTACCTGTGGCTCAGTTAATGGATGCTGAAGGACATCTCAGGCCAAGGTGTTCTGGAAACACCCTGTTTGGAGTGTATGGCATCAGAAGAGTATATTGTATCAGTGGTTTAGACTCTTCTGTGCCTCAGTCTCTCCATTTGTAAAACTGAATTTTTTTCTGGGATTTGAAGCAAATCTCCATAGCACTCTAAAGATTTTCAGGTGGAATAGCAAATACCACAGTGTGTGTGTAAAGTTTTGCTCTGTTTAACAGATTAAAGTGGGAAGATTCTCAGCATGCTGCCAGTAATATCAAGCTGTGGCTATAATCACATAGTCCTGGGGCTCAGACCTTTGGATATTTTTGAGGTGGTTTTTGGGGTTATCTTTCCATGTAACTGATGTTTGGTTTGGTTTTGTTTTTTCTTAACAGAAGGAGCATATAAGAGAGAAATTTGTAGCTGATTTACAGAGAGAATTTGCAGGCAAAGGCCTCACGTTTTCTATAGGTAATACATTAAAAATGTCATTAAACATCTAATAATCCAAATTTCATTTAAGTCATACTCTCTTACAGCTATGACATCCCATCTCATCTGTGTGACACTTCTCTCTGGGGGTGGTTTCAGGCAAGACTGAGCCTCTTTTTCCTGTTAGGCTTTCATTGGGACATTTTAATGAGATCCATCAGCAAAAAGAAATTCATTGCTTTTCATCAGTTCAGTGACTTTTAATGTCAGTTGTGTGACTGATTCTGCTCATTTTGAAACATCACAAGCCTCTGTTTAGTCAGAGTTGTTTCTGTGCATCACTTTTGATCAGAGCTACTACTTCAATGCTGTTCAGTCACCTTTGGTTCTTCAGCTCTAACTACATTGTGTGGGAGGAAGGAAACAATCCAAAAGCAAGTGCCAGCTTAAAGAGAAAAATTATAATAAGAGGGAATTAATTTTCCATGTATTTCTTCCCTTTTTTTTCCCTCTCCCCCAATATATGACCACATTACTGCCTTTTATTATGCTTCAGAGCTATAAAGTGTGCTTGCCATTAGTGCTGTGGTATTGAAGCACTGAGGCAGAAATGAACTGCAGTGTAGCTCTCCTGAAGCATGTTGTAAATATCTTTTGGACATCTGCTTCAACTTGGAATTATGCTTTTAGGTATTGGTAAAGCCCAAGGATTTGGAACTGGCACAGTTGTTGTCCTGTTAGGCTGTGCTAAAAACGCTGATTTCCTCCTTTTTCTGTCTGAAAGCTTTAGAAAGGCTTTTGCCTAAGCTTTTATGGCTGTACCTACACTAATGTCTGTGTTCATCATGCCCTTTCTAAAAGTAAAGAGATTAAATAATTTTTGTACAAAAGTTCACCTTGAGAGCAGTGAGCAGTTGGGAACATGTTAAACCTTTCATATTTGTTTAATGGATAAATAATCATCCCTAAATCACAACTGTAGTAACTGATACTCTACAAAACACCTCCTGTACTTGCAAGACTTAACTCCAGGGTCTCATAACATTTCTGTGGCTTCTGCAAAGCTCCCCTTACCTAAAATCTTACCCAGTTTAGGTTTTTTCCCACTTACTCTGCCCTCAGAACCGTGTTCTTACAATCAAAGCAATCTGCTTGGTTCCTTTCTCTCCTAGGGGGGCAGATAAGCATCGATGTGTTCCCAGATGGCTGGGACAAGAGGTACTGCTTAGGAATTGTTGCCAACGATGGATACAAGACTATTTATTTCTTTGGAGACAAGACTATGCCAGTGAGTATATTATCTTGTTCTATTCATTTCAGAGCTGCTGTTATAACCCACAAGGATTGTAGGTTCTAACCTTGTGCCTGACAAGAGCTGAAGTCAGGGTATAAACACATGTTTATACTGGTTGCAGGTCAGCACAGTGCTGGGGTAGGTTTTCCTTCAATTTCCTGAAGGGCATGCAGGATTCTTGACAGACTTAATAGAGGTTGGTTGTAAATTGCTCTTCTGTAGTTCTGTGACATGACTGTGTGAAACTGATTGTTCTGTTTGGTTGGTGTAAATTGATGCTTCTTGTTGGCTGGTGCTTATTAAACATAGGTATATCCTATTTAATTTAGTACTCTTCCTTTGCTCACCACTCTTGTTTGTCTCCACATTGGGGAACAACATAGTTGTTTGTTGGGGAACAACATAGCTTTGTCCCTGTCCCTCAGGGCAAGTCAGAGGCTCTTAAAAATGCTAAGCAGAGACCTGACAAGAGCTGCTAAGGGCAACAGCAAGCACAAGGATTTGGATGAAATTAAAGCTGAGTATGGCCAAGGGACAGAGTCAGGCTAAGATTTATAAGAGAAGGCTTAGTTTTATGAGAACTTACAGTTACAAAACTCTTAAGTTAAAAGAACTTTATAGCTTTATAAACTTCAAAAGGTGAAGATTTATAAGAAAAAGACAAGCTTTAAATTAAAGGGTCTTTTTTCCCCCTTTGACACCAAAAGTAATCACCTGTCCCTGTGGCACTGAGTTTATGGACAGTTCATTTTAGGCCCTGTCAGTGGCAGTGCAACATTTTCAGTGTTGGAGTACCCAGAGCTGGTGCTGACCCTGGGAAAAGCAGCATGGCAAACAGCATAAGAAATTGAGGAACTGCTTCCCTGCAGTGCACAAAGCTGCAGCTTTCAGGGCTCTCTGCTCACACAGGTGGCAGTGCTGTTGTTCCCTCAGCATTGTCACTATATATTGTCACGTATATTTATGTGTAATTAAATAAAATTAAATCCTCTTCTGCTTCCAGGGAGGGAATGACTATGAAATCTTCACAGACTCCAGGACACAAGGCCACAGTGTCACGTCCCCACAGGACACGAGAAGGATCTGTGAAGAGCTGTTTTTTAAATAAGAGACCTCTGGAATTCACACTTAGAAGACGGTTAAGACACCCTAATAACTTGAAACATCATCTTCATTCTGAGTATTGTTTGTAATTGGTCGAGAATTGGTGCTTTGCAGGTCAGTCCTTACTGAAGGGAAATGGTAACTGAGAGCCCTTGCTGACTGGGGGATACAGCAGAGCTCATTTAGCCTCATCTTTTCACCGTTTCCATTTGCACAAGTACTTTGTTTTGTCTTTTGGCTGTGGGTTTTGGGTTGGTCATATGTTTTCGTTGGGTTTTTTAAGTCATCAGTAAACTTTTTTAAGTAACTAATTACATGTCAGAAGGGAAGGGGGTGCATAATCTGCCCCTAGTTGATCTATGGTCTCAAAATTGGCCTGCAAGGTTTTATCTCTAGTTTTTTTAATTCTGAGGCTGCTTTTTAAAATATGATCATTTCAGAGTTGGTTTTTTTTAAATACTACCTTGTGCTATAAAAAATTACAAGACAGTTGGGATTTTCTTGATTGAAACTGGAAGATGAGTAAGAAAGAGACAGGTTCGATTTCTTTTCGGGGGTGGAAAAATGAAACTGAGCCAGAAGTCCCTGACCTCACACAGGTGCCAGTGTGGGGTCAGAAGGTGCCTCAAGTTTACCACCCTCAGGAAGGCTGAACCAGCTGGTGCCAAAGTTACCTCCTCAGTATAGTTGTGGTGCTAAGGCACAGTACAGGCCACAGTACATACACTCTTTGCAGACTGTTTAAAAAAAATTTTGTAAAGCTTAATTAATTCAACATAGGAGCAAAATACATTTCTGTCACTTTCTGATCACTTTCTGATTTTCCTGGGAAGACATGAATGGTAGATGAGATTTTTAGCTCTAAGAAAATGACCTAAAC